TGGTAAATACAAGTTTTCTTTATCCATTTTTGGGATTAATCTTAAGAAATAAGAAATAACTAAAGTGAGATCGTTTAGGGCAAAAAGACGTTTAAACTCCGGTTGCTAGAATTTTGAAAGAAATTAAAAATCTTTAAAAATTGACGGACTAAAGTGTACCGCATGTTCGAAACTCAACTTTTTCTTAATTAAGGCAGTAGTTATGGGTTAATTGTTTTTCCAAAAATATAGACGTCGATTCACGTTTATGAATTTCATAAACTTTTTTTTTCTGATATTTTTATGATAGGTCCAGATAACTCGTATTGCCCAACTCTTAAGTGTATGTTTTAAATCATAGTACTTGTAAAATTATTTAAAAGCTTTTAAACTTTTGGTACTATACGTACGTACAAAATGGATTAATATAATAACGATTATTGTCATTAAACTTCAACTAATAAAAACATAGTCGAAGATTCCTTTGGATGAGAATTAAAGAGAGAGGTGAATTTGCAGAGTTTACTTACTTTTGCGGGGATAAAGTTTTTTTTCCTCCACGATTTGAATTTTTGTCCATTTACAATTTAATGTTACGTTGATAGTTTTTCATTAAATAGTAAAATAATCTGAAAATATTTCAGTTTTTGATACTTACATTACGGTCGGAAAATGTTTACATGACCGAACATCACTTGAACTAATACTTCAAATTCTTACAAATTTATTTAAGTTTGGAAATATTTAAACTTTAAATGTTCAAAACATAAATTAAAATAATTAATATTTCTAATTCTTAGAAACTTTAATATCTTTAATTTTCAAAAAAAAGAAAAAAAAATATTTTTAATTAACGCGGTTATAGTGGCCAACAAAGAGTTTTTTTTTGGCTAAAAAGTAAATATTTCATATAAAATGAATCGTTCAGGTTTACAATCGTAATTATAAACTTACACAATGATTCCACGGAGAAAAACATAAGAATATGGAATCATAACATGTAAGGTTTTCAATCCATCAGTTCAACAAAAACACAAAGTTAATAGAGCTAAACAAAGTGATGACGATAATCATTGTTCACACCATAGCTCTTGCTGGTATTGAAACTATCATAGCAAAACACATAAGCGGAAATTACCAACTAAAAACAAACTAAAAAATTGAGATATATATTGAGATGATTATATATAATTTATTTTGTGGCAAACAAGTATACCATCAAGATTTTAAGATTCTTTGGAAGACTTAAAAAAAAAACAAATTCTTTGGAAGAAAATTAAAGAGAGAAGTGAATTTCATAGCTTAATTTTTTATGGTCACGTCTTAATTGACACGCATGCAATCTGTATTATCGAGAGAGGGTACAGTTGACGGTGTTGGTGCATCTCCTTATGTAAAAGTATTGTTTTTATTTTTCTTTGTTATCACTTATCACAGCAAAATCTTATAACTAATAAGTTGCCAATTTAAGTCTCAATTTTTTTTATTGGGTATTTTAAGTCACTCAAATTATTAGAATACGGTGTTTAATAAGTCAAATGGGTCTTTCACGACACCTTGAAACTCAATTAAAGTTGGCTGAAAACAATTCAGCAATATTTAGAGTTTTTTTTTTCTTTTCAAAAACTAAACTTACAGGGATATACATGTTAGGCATAGGAAATGTGATCAAAATTATATATTTTCATCCCTTGTTTTTTTTTATAAAAAAATCAAAA